GTAGGAAGGAAGCAATATGTATGCTGGTAAGTATATACAAAACAGCTGCATTCCTTAGATTTAACCCCACTATCATTATGCTTCCAGGAAAAGTTCATCACCAAGAAAGTCCCATCATCCAAGAAATTCCATCAGCTTTGGTACTTATATGTTATGGTAGTTACCCTCAGCAGCTTCTGCTCCTTTGCTTGGCAAGCTGGAGTGTAGAACACAGAACTTCCCCAAAGTATCCATTTAAAGAGGCTTCACAGGCCAGCCATTTCCCATTAGCTGCACCCCTTGGATTTGACTACACCATCATCAATATGTCCTTCTGCTCCTCATCCACTTTAGATTGTAAACTTTTTGAGGGCAGGAATTGTCTTTTTAAAAATTTTCTGTCTCCAGTATTTAAAGTGTGTGGCACATAGTAAGCATTTAATAAATGTTTATGGAATTAAATTGAAATATAAAACAATTTTAGCTAAGGGAGAGTACTAACAAGGAGGGGTGTCAGGAAAGGGCTAATGTAGGAGCTGGCACTTAAGCTTTATTTTGGAGGAATGCAGGGGTTAAAGAGGTGGAAGTGAGAAGCAAGGGCATCATAGGCATAAGACTAACTAAATTAAAATATCCTGTGGGTGGAATAGTAAAGAAGCTACTTTACCAGAAACATCCAATGTATGAGGGGAAACAATTTGAAGTCAGTCTGGAAAGATAGATTATTATCAAGCCAGATTATGAAAGAATTTAAATACCATAAAGGAGTTTGTATGTATTCTAGAGCAAATGAAACTTCTTGAGCACAGAAATGAGATGGTCAGATTTGTGCTTTAGAGATAACAATTTGGCAGCTGCCCACAATTTGTGGATGATAGCTTAGAGAGGGGAGAAACTGGAGACACAGAAACAAACAGAGACTATCAAAATCATGTTGGCAAGACATGATGAGGACCTGAATGAGCATGATCACTATGTGAGTCAAGAGAAGGAGATGGACTAGAGAGATATTTGGAAGACTGGATTTTGGAGGTGAGTGGAAGTGAAGAGTCAAAGATGACTCCAAGATTATGAACATGGTGACTAGTAGATTGGCCTAAAGACTGATAAGGTTAGGAAAAGTCCTTATTTCTGTGGGGTGAGTTTCAAGAAAATGTAATGAGTAATGTTTTGGGTGTGTTGAGTTTGAGATGCCTATGGAATATCCAGGTGGAGATTTCTAGCAGACAGTTCATGTTGCTGAAGATAAGGAGAAAGATATAGAGGAAATACCTGCATAGAAGTGATCATTGGATCCATAGGAGTTGATCAGATTACAAAGAGAAGGTCAGTCCTGGACGCCACGATCTAGGATTATAAGTGGGGATCTTAGATGTCATCCAAACCAGTCTCTTCATTTTACAGATGAGGAAACTAAGACGGTTCACATTTTCATTCAGCAACTTACTACCAATGGTACTAATCAAGTCAACAAACCTTTAGAGACCTCAGTTTGCTCATCTCTAAAATGAGGGGCACAGATTACATGATCATTTATATCCCTTTCTGTTATAAGTCTATGACTCTATGATTCTGTGATAGAATTCTTTAGACTTTCTCCAGGTCCCAAGGGAATGTGTGTCTGCAAGTTGCATTCACCACTAGATGGGCCTCATGTTCATTGTGATAGATAAGATTTACAGGACCCCTTTGGGACAGGAAGCTTAAGAATACACAGATATACACATATTTACAACCAACCTGTAATATGATTGTGTAGTAGCAGTCTATATTGATAGACCAAAAATAATCATAATTTCAATCGTGCTTAAAAAGGAAATTCTTATTGGATTATCAATGGAACAAAAGCCTTAGTGCAAATGACACTTCTTAATTGATATGGTTTCAATTTTCTTTAATTCTATTCTCTATAATTGTCTGTAGAATAGCAGTACCCTGTTTTCTTTGATGTTTGTCTTTGCCATACAGTCCTTGTTTGCTTCTGGTACTGTAGACAATGAGTGCTGGAGCAGGAAGGGCCTTAGAAATCACCTGGTTCAATCCACCCATTTTACAGATAAGCAGGAGCTTCCTTTGTATTGATAGTAGTTAACTCATAAAAAAAAAAAGCTGTTCTTCATCATTGCAAGTGCTGAGGCTATCTAGACAACTTTTTACAGCTCTCCTCAGAACCCAAATCTAAATTAACTAACCCCAAACTGAGAGAAAATAGAGTTCATCTAGATCTACTCAATTCCATGTTTTTTTCTTTTGTTTTCATAGAATTTTCAGCTGGAAATACAAATCAGATAAGTGAGGCCCAGAGAGGTTCATAGTATCATAGAACCATAAGTCTAGAGCTGGGAGAGACCTCAGAAGACATCTAGTTCAACCTCTTTATTTTTAAAGGTGAGGAAATTGAGGTGCAGTGAGGTTAAGTGACCTGCCCAAGGCCACAAAGGTAGAAAGCAGCAGAGCCAGGATTTGAACTTATGTCCTCTGACTTCAGATCCAGGGCTCTTTCTGGTCTGTCCTAATTTGTCTCTAAGTAGAAGCCTGACTTTTTACATCTACTGAACATTTCTTAGCACTGAGTAGAGTGCCTCTGCTTACCAGAACCGTTCTCTCCTCTCCCATTTTCTGGTTTGGAATCTCTCTGATAGTCCAGATCATTTACCAAACAATGGAAACAATCATTTCCCCCTGTTTTTTGCTAAGGCTATCAGGCAATTTGGCTGCCTGGGAAACGAAGAACAGCAACTTAATTGACCTTGGGCCTTTCAATGTCTCAAAAAGAAGACCCTAGTCACACTGCAGAGTCTAATTGGAAAATGGGCTAGTCATCCTGTCCAACTTGTTTAATAACAAAATTATACCTACTCAGTATCTCTCCCATTTACTTGTCATTGATATTCACCTCTGTCCTACTTTCAAACCTCTGTTCTCTTCATCCCTGGCGTTCAAGGCCCTCCACAATCTGGTCTGTTTTTGTCAATCTCTAAAGCCTTGATCAAGGGATACTGTGCATTTTAGATATCTGTGTTGGTGTTTAGCTATCTCTCTTGGTCTTAGAATCTAGACCTAGGAGAAAAGTTTAGTGGCTGCAGAGAGGCAGATTTAAATTTGACTCATCATCTTTTTCTTCAAACCCCATCTTTTTTCCTATTGCCTCTTCTTTTAACTACCACTATTGCTCATCCGTTTTCATTCTCATTACTACTACAAACATGTGGTATTGCATGTTTATTTTAATTAATTATATTTTCATTTGAGCAGCTAGGTGAAGCAGTGGATAGACAGCTGGGTGTGAAGTCAGGAAGATTCATCTTCATGAGTTCAAATCTGGGCTCAGATACTTATTAACTGTGTGACCCCAGGCAAGTCACTTAACTCTGTTTGCCTTAATTCTTCATTTGTAAAATGAGCTGGAGAAGGAAATGGCAAACCATTCCAGTATCTTTGCCAAGAAAACCCCAAATGGGGACATAAAGAGTCAGACATGACTGAAATGACTGAACACTAACAAATATTTTCATTCCTACTATTACCGCAAATGTTGTGTCACAAATGATAGATGTATCATCAAGCAAAGCAAAAGCAAAAAACAAGAAAAGCAATATATTGGCCAAGTCCAATAATATATGTTTTATTCTAAACATATTGTTCACTACCTCTCATTCAAATATTTTTGGATGACTCATTGTAATATGTTTTTTTCTCTCTGTAGAACTTGGATATCTGACCTTTATCAGATATGTTTGCTGTGAGAGGGGCAGGGACTGTAGTGGATAGAAAGCTTACCTTTGAGTCAGGAAGACCTTGTTGCAGAGAAAAATACCAATCTGCAGTGGTCAAGAGAATTTCCTTATTGGGAAGCCCTCAATAAAATAATCTTTTCCCATCCTATTCTCATTTCTGGGAATTTTTTTTTCTTATTGTTACTTGCCTTCTTACGTTAGTAGATTTTTTTTCATTAAAAATCTTTTAAATTTTATCACAATTTTGATTTTCTTTTATGAATGTCTTTATTTCTAGTTTGATTAATAATTTTTCCCCTGACCTAGTTATTCAAGGTAATTCTGATTCTTTTCAATTTTTTTTTTCAAAAATGATAAAACCTTTTCTATTAGGTTATATATTTATTTGAAGCTTATTGGGGCATATGGTATAAGTTTAAGATAGTGATTGGAACTTAATTTCTACCAAACTACTTTCCTATTTTTCTAGTAATTCTTGTCAAATAGAGAGGCCTACTAGAGTACTATGTTTGATTATTTTGGGGGTCTTGTTAAGTGAATCTGTTCCACTGAGCAGCTTCCTACACAGTATCCTGAAATTGTTATTCACCTACTTCATCAGATTCTTATTTTCTCGCCAAAAAAGTCCGAACAGCCTAGAATTCAAGGTCCTCCACAACCTGGCGACCTTTATTCCTTTTCTCCAACGATTCCCTGATTAATGTACTTGTTATTTGCTACAGAATATTCAGTTTTAAAAATTTCAGTCACTCTACTTGAAATTGTTTCCATCTATGCCTACTGACATTTTGCCCTCTTTCTTAATGTTTTGCTTTAATGATATCTGTTCTACGGCACCTTCTTTGGGCACTTCTGCTAGAAGCAATGAATCTCTCCCTCTTTTTTTCCCCATACCTTTTCATGTGCTGTTAATATGGTATTTATTATTTATTGTTTTGTGTTGTAGTTATTTAAGGCAGGTGGTTAGTTCTTGCCCTCATTTATACGAAGATTATTGAGGGAAGAAATCAAGCTTTGTCGATTGATGAATTTATCTCTGTGCCTAGAAAAGTACCTTATGAGAGTATATGCCTAATAAGTTTAATGAATGAATGAATATATTATGATGTATGTTTGGAAGGTATCCTAGGAATAATAATTTATTCCACAAATTCCGGAAATGGAAAGGAAAACAAATTGAAAGAAAAAATCATAAAAGAAGCATTTTATTTACAATAATCCTATATAAATGTAAACTATTATCAAACCTATGATAAACATAGCTTTATTTTTGTCTCTAAAAAGGTATTTTTGAAGCTTTTACAAGACTCCAAAAACAAACCACATAGTCCTGATACAACAGACATAAAGTCTCAATATGAGAGAAGCACAGAACAACTGCATGACAATAGTAAGTATTCAATTAATTATTTGCATTGTTCTTTTAATAAAAATATAATTTCTGAAATCTACAATCTTTATTTTGACAAATTCATTTTTACCCAAAGCTTCTAAACACATGTGAAACTGAGTCATTATTACCACCTTTATAACTCTCAAGTCTGTCTTGAGTCTGACATCTCTCCTGGTTTCATCCCCCTTTTAATGAAAACTTTCTTAATGGAAACGGATTTTTAAAAAAGGAGAGAGAATGCTGACTCAGAGAAAGTACTGTTTTATTGGGGCAACCTGCAAGCTCTCTTATAGATTCTTGAGTTGGGTAAATCTTGAGTATCTTTGTGAGTATAGGTAAGATGTCTGAACTTTGCAGACATTATTATTATTTACCAATAAAGGCTTTTTTTCCTCTTCCTTGTTTGTATCAATGCTTTTCTTATGAGCAGAATAATGTGTAAGTCAAATGCTCAGTGGTTTAATGAAGATGGGTATTTTTCTTAATAGCTGAGATCTCTTTTATTATGAATTTGTGATTGATGCTCCAATTTAGTCTAGTATTTACTAGTACATACTATGCATGTACACAGTATAGCAATCCAATGGGTTCCTTTTGTTGGCATCAGTTTGGAAGAGTTGAACACACTAATCAGGTGACTCAATTTAATGAAATGATACAATAAAAAAGAAATCCCTCTAATAAAAGGTATATTGATAGTTGTTTAAGGAATGCTAAATTTTCACAGAATCAAAGCTTTGGGAAGGACATCAATGGCCCACTAATCTGACCCATACAAAAGAAAAATCCATCATAGAAGTTATGCTCTTTGGAAATAGCTCTAGGTATTTGAAAATTTTCTTTACATCAGTTCTAAATATGCTTCTTTATAACTTACATCCATTTTCTCCAGTTCTTATATGTGGGAGACAAGGTGAATGTCTAATCCCTTTTCCATTGGAGAACCCTTGAAATACATGAAGACAGCTATCATATCCTTCCTACTTCTCCCTCTGCCTAAATATCTCAGTTTCCCTCAACTGAGTCCTACATTGAATGACCTCAAAGTATTTAATCATCCTGGTTGCTCTCTTCAGGACACTTTTGGGATTTCCATCAATGAATATTTGAATATACAGTGATTAAAATGACTTTAGCTTTCACATTTTGATGAAATAAAATAACTAATTAACTGATATTTTTATAACTCAGAATACATTGAATTTAAAACCTATAATTAAAAAAACTAATATTTTACCAGAAACTTAACTTACCAAGCAAATGGATGAAACCTTAAAAAAATGTTGTATGTCAAAATATGACATTTAGAAGGTTCCATTACCTGAGAAGTCTTTTTAACAATGATAAGTTTAAGTCAGGGGTGGGGAACCTTTGGCCTCAAGACTACATGTGGCCCTCTAGGTCCTCAAGTGTGGCCCTTTGAGTGAATCCAAATTTCACAGAATAGATCCTTTATAACATGGGGATTTATTTAAGTAATTTTGGTCATATTTTTTCAGTTATTATTTGCCGAGTTGAAATTGTTGATTTGAATTAAGCGATACAGTTTCATATATAATATTATTGCCATTTTCCACAAAAGACAGTGGGAAACATTGCTCATAGAAATCTCCATTCTTCTAAGAATTTACAGGCCATGTTTTCAGTCCTTTCATTCTCCTACCTTAACATGACTTTGAAAATCCTTCCCCAAATATCCATATTAACACCCATTCTAATATTCTGATCTTACAGTCCTTGATTTCCTCAACTCAGTAATTTAATTCAATAAATGTTCATCAGTAACCCACTCTGTGCCTGGTAATATATCAGACAATAAATAGATAAAGATAAAGACAGAAAAGTTCCTTTTCTTACGTTATACAGGGGAAATAATCCACTCCCATCCATTCTGAACTTTAGCCCTTCATTATCAATTGTTTGCTGGACATCTCTATATGTATAGTCCATAGGTATCTTGGATTCAGTATGTCCAAAAGAAAACTCATATCTCCCTTTGGCACTCTTTGCCCTATAAACTCAAACCTTCTTTAAAACACATCCTTTTATTGACAGCACCACTCTCCATCCAGTCACTCAGGTTTGCCATCTTGGAGTCACTACTGACCTTTCCTTCTCCATCAACCTTCATATCCAATCTATTGCCAAGTCTTGTCAATTGTACCTCTCCAACATGTCTCACTTCCATCTCCTTGTCCCCAATCACTCAGCATCTACTCTAGTTTAGGGTTACATCACCTTTTTCTTGTTCTATTGCAATATCTTCCTAATTGGTATCCCCGATTCGTCGCTCTACTTTTTTCAATGAAATTTCCATATAGTTTCAAACTGATATTCCTAAAACATAGAAATAATTGTGCTCTAGCATCAGGAACTTTCACCCAGCTTGCCCTCCTGCCCCTACTCTTTCAAAAATATCTTATCATTTGCTTTTTGAACTACAGCCCATTTTCTGGAACAACTGTGGCCCAGTTCTGGTTTCTTGCTTAGTTAGTTATTTCCTCGTCCTGCAAACACACCTGCACAAAGTCCTCATATCTATTATGTTACCAACTCTTTTGACTTCCAACAGGTGTGATTTCTATACGGGCCAGCTAGCTTCATTTATTTATTGACTCCAGACTACTTCTCTAACCCCATAGATACCCTTGGATTCCAGGTGGACAGGATTTGTGCAAATTCTTTTCTTTGACTAAAAAAAAAAACAGCAACAAACCAGCTCAAGCTGCTTTCCCTACTGCTGATAGGTCAACCCAATTACCTTCATATGCAAAGGATGAGAGGTTAATTAAAATAACCCTTAAGAAACCCCTATCCTAGAAGGATGAATTTGAGGAAGTTTACTGTTCCTCCCTCATATTCGATGGAGGCACCTGAAGTAGAAGAATTGCAGCAGAGGAGTGAAGATGATCAAATGGAACTCAAAAGTTACAGTAATTACCCTTTCATGACCTAGCTCTCAAAGTAGCACACAAAGCTGCAATAATCCTGGTTAAACCTTGCAGAATAGCAAAATGTCGACTCAATGGCATTTCCTGGGAAGAGAAGGACTTAAGCATTCCTCCCACCTGTTCTTTAATCTCTATACTTAAAAGGATTGTTTTAGTAGTCTGAGTCTGATTCTAAAATGTACTAGAAATCAATTTGGAATTTCAGCAATGTGGAGATCCCAGCTCTATTTCATACTTGTTATGGTAGCCTTGTTAAAATGTAAGAGCAATGAGAGGTAGCATGAATTCTCTGCCAAGACACCTTGATTTGAGAAATCACCCTGATTTGCAAGGGCTCTGCTGGGTATGTCTTCCTGACCCTGGACACTAGACTAGTAATCAGAAGCCACAGGTAATAGCCCCGATTCTGCTATTAACCAGCTGTTTGGCTTTGGACAAATTATTCAGCATCTCTGTCCTAGGTTACTTTTCCCACGTGTCAGAATGAAGAAGAGGACATTAGTCGAGCTTGGTTATTTTGTCCAGGTCTCTGGTTCTATCACTTGCCACAATTAAAACCTGGAGTTAGTCACCTGGCAGAGAAGTGTGGCATTACAGAATTAGAGTTAGAGGAGACTTAGAGACCATGTAGTTAAACCATCTCATTGTTCAGATGAGGAGCATAAGGCTTAGGTAAGTGAAATTATTTGCTCAAGGTCCCATGGGGAGTAGTCATCAGATGTGGGTTGGGAACCTAGTTCCTCTGACTCCATAGTCAGTGTGCTACTCATTGTACTAACCTGCCAGTCTTTCCAGATGACACTGGGGTGTTTATGCATGGCAAGAGAGAGCTGCCATATGTGTCTATAGGCATATTAGCCAAACAGTGGCAAGGAAGTGATCACAAAAAAAAAGAGGGTAGAAGAAAGGGCCTTGTACTTTCCACCATATTGTTTTTTAGTTATTAATATCACTTGGGATACATTTAGAGCTCAAACTGAGTAAAAATTTCCCCTAATACCATTTAATGATAATTAAGACAAGTCTAACTCATAACGTCATTTCAGAAACATGGTAATGATTTGAATCAGTAATGATGTTTTGTCTTGGTCAAAGAGTTCCATTTTGTTATTTGTTAATTATTAATAAAGCCTTTTATTTTATCATAGATTCAATTATACTATATGTCCAGTCATATCTTCCATGTCCATATGCCTCCACTAAATTGAATGTATATATATATGTATATGCACATGTACATATTATATATGTTATATGCTCATATAGGTATATATATATTACACAAATGCACGCATATCTATATCTATCATATATCTTTCAGTCTGTCTATGCATCATATGTTGATTTGATCTATTTATCTGTTTGTTTTTGGCTATCAAACTAATGAAGCTGTCTCCAAAATGATGGAAGTATTGTGATGAACACTGGTGGGCTATGTTTGTATGCATGCATATGTGTTTATATACATACACAATACAATGTACATGTTATATGTACACATATTATATATAATATATATCATATATACACATTTATCTATGTGTATTTATCTTTATCTATTTGTCTATGATCTATCTGATCTGTTTGTCTTTTGGCTATAAAACTCATGAAGTTGTTTCCAAAGGGCTGGAGGTATTGTGATGAATATTAATAGAGAGATCCCTACCCTGTTTAAATCAAGAATTCTTGAATTATTGAAGTATAGCCTCAGAGTACCTTTTTTCATGCTAATAGGAAGAGCCTATAAACCTACTGCTATTCTGATCTCTGGACTCCAAAGAGGTTTATTTGTTAATTTTTTTTGCATCTGAAACAGGAAAGCAGGAGAGTATAAGATTCAACTGAGATTTGAGGGCCTTACAGGGAACCTGATTTTTGTAAGGATACTCTTGTCTCATTTTTAATTTAGCTTTCCATTTAAAATGTAAGTTTGTATTTTATTTTTTAAAATAGGCAATGCTTTCAGAGAGATGATTTATACCATTTTATGCTATTACTTTTTTTTACTTTGTTTATCTTGATTTTTATTTTTAGTGTCACTTAATA